CGGTCAATCAATTGCGGTCAACCGTTCGTGGTCAACCAGATCTACATAAATTTTAAGCCGTAAGTTCTCTACGTCAAACCTTTAGATCCGTTGCGCATAGGTTTACGTTTGCTATTGAATTCGTGACATGTACATAACGAGATCCTCATAGATCCCAACACGCACGACCATGCTTCCAGATTTTGCGTACGCATTAGAAGGTCACCAAGCAGGCTCTCCGACATCCGGCGATTACTTCAAATGGGCTGTTGCCGTATTTAGCTTTCCAAAGCTGCACCTATAGGGCATTCAGATTCGTGAGAAATTGCCATCCTAGCTTCATGATCATAGCCCCGTTCATTAACCGTTGCTTTTTTAGGCCCAGACCGCCATAATCCTTTGCCATACACACCTCCTCCCATTTGACAAGGCTGATTTTCTCTTTTTGACCCGAGCCTTCCTAAATAAAACGTAGAATACGTTTCTCCAGCCCCTCGCAAACGGAATCAGGCAGGCAGACCGATTGCATGGTGTAATATGAGAGAGCGCTAACGACCCCTTGATCCAAAACTACAGGACCATTCATAGATAAAGTAGTCGCTTTCCACCCGTACAGACGAGCTTCGGCCTTCTCGATAATTTTCTCGTACGTTTGGCCCTTTACCCGTCCATGTATAAGTGGGACACCAAGATAGTAGCCAAAATCTGCGACCATGTTGAAGCCCATAAGATTCGATAGAACACGTTGCTCGTCAAGGTTGACGTTCTTCGAGAAAAAGATGTTGGTTTTGGCCTCGTTAACCTTCAGTCCTGACATTTGACAGAAGTTGTGGAGCACCCGTTTTAGTGTACATACCTGATCAGTTGATGCTTCCAGAAAGAGAAGTAGATCGTCCGCAAACAACAAGTACGGGACTTGCACTCGGCCGCGTCCTACACTGATCGGCTTCCACTGCCCCTCTCTTACCTCACTTTGAATAGCATGCGCTAATCGTTCAATGCAAAGGACAAAGAAGTAAGGGGAGATAGGGTCCCCTTGTCGCACTCGTCGGGGCAGTTGGAACGCATCGCCCGGGACTCCATTCCAGATTATTTGCATGGACGCTGTGGTGAGACATTGCATAATGACACTCACGAACCTTGGGGGAAAGCCTGCCAAGAAAAGGGTATCTTCGACAAAGTCCCATCGCAAAAAATCGTACACCTTCTCAAGGTCTACTTTCACAACCATATACCCCGTGTTACCCGTTTTGGTCCTCATAGAATGGATTAGTTCCTGAGCCACAATGATGTTATCATATATGTGCCGCCCCGGGATAAAACTTGATTGGGCCGGACCGATTAATCCAGGGAGGAGTGGCTTCATCCTGTTGGTAATCACCTTCGTTAGGAGCTTGTAGGCTACATTCAATAGACTGATGGGACGAAATTGTTTAGTAGTCTCGGGCTGATCGCACTTGGAGATGAGGATAATGGGTGTTTTATTGATATCCGTCGGCAGTTCCCCACCATGGAGAATCGACCTGATCAGGCGACACACAGATGGTCCTACTCGCTTCCATTGACTTTTAAAGAACAACGCGTTAAGCCCATCAGCACCTGGCGCTTTAAGTGAACCCATTTTCTTAAGAGCCCTCAAGATCTCATTCACATACGCGTCTCTTTCAAGTAGTGCTAAAGCATGCAGATTAATTGTCGGGAAGCATGGTGCCGCGGTACTGAGTAAAGGGAGCGTCTGGTCGGCCGTACAGATGGACTGGAAGTAAGTGGCGGCCATACATTGTAACTCATCTGGGTCCATGACCACATTGTTTGCGTCGTCCTTCAAGGCAACTATTTTATTTGTACGGAGTCGAGCTTTAACCTGCCGGTAGTAGAAAGCAGTATTACGGTCACCAAAAAGGGACCAATTACGGCTCGACTTCTGGATCATGAGGACTTCCTCCTAGAGAAGGATCTCTTCTAGTTCAGCCATCAGTGTCTTCTCCAGCTATGATAGACGAGAAGATCGGCGGTAGTGTGAAGAGCGTTGGATCCCGCCAATACGTGCCAGAAGGGTTTTCTTTTTTGCAAATATATTACCAAAAACTCGAAAACTCCAGTCAGTCGCCGCCATGGAGAAGGATTTGGCGGCATCCACGAAATTAGGGGTCCCCGACCAGCAACCCGCTACGACTTTCGGAAAGTCATCATGTAGGAGCCACGGGGCTAAGAACCAAAAGGGCTTTGGTCCTCTGGACGCGGGTGTTCCCGGTGAGCAACGAATGACGAGAGAGGTATGATCAGATTGTAGTCGCGTCGCATGAAGCACAAAAGCCTCGGGGAACATGTCCAGCCAAAGCTCATTACAGATAAACCTATCCAATTTCTGGGAGAGGTCCCGACGACTCCAAGTAAATTGAGTTCCATCAGTTTTGACTTCATATAGACCATAGTCAAATATCCAATCCGAAAAAGCAGCACACGCATGTCCTCGATGAGGAGAGCCACCAGATCTCTCTGAAGGCCGCAAAATGCAGTTAAAATCACCCCCAATCAGCCAAGGGTGGTTGATGGACGAAGCCAGGGAATGTAATAGTTCCCACAGAACCTGTCGGCCACGCGGGTTAGGCGAAGCATAGATAAAAGTGATAAGAGACTCTCGATCATCGATTTAACCGTGAAGGTGAACTAGCTGTTTATGGCAATGGAGAATGGTCACCTCGGCTCTCTCTCTCTCCACAAAACCCAGATCCCTCCCAAGAAGCCCAAGGCCTCTACACGGAAGGGGCGGGGAAAACCAGAGCGGCGAATGAATTTGTCGGCAGCAACTCCGCTAATCTTTGGTTCAAACAAAGCCACTACATCGGGTTGGTGTTGGGTGACGATTGTTGAGAAATCTCTACAGAATCTACTAGAGCCTGCTCCTTGAACATTCCAAGCAATATAATTCATTAAAAAGACTGTGGAGAGAGAGAGCCCAAACCATCAGATCGAGCATTGGCTGTCAGCGCCCTGGACCATAGTCGTATCATCGTCATCCATCCTTATGGCATGCTCGGAGCTGAGCCTGTCCGAAGTATCTGGGGGTTCCTCCTGTAGAGGTGGATCATTTCGGGTAGAGGGTTGGGAGTCCATTGCCATATCGTGCGCCACTAGGGGCCGACGAAGGTGACAGCTCGGTGATGTACCGGGTCAAGAGTACTCGAAGCAGGGACCATGTGGGAGTTGTCGTGGGCGAGTCCTTTTCTCATTTGGAGTGACCGCTCGTCTTGCGTCTTATGTGTCTCTCTTGCCGCAGCCCCATTATCCTTGGTGTGTCCGCTGAGTCCAATGCCAAATCCCGACTGGTTGTTCGCTGTGGGTCGTGAAGGTCCAGTCACAAACTTATCCTTTGTTGGTCGCCGTTCTGTACGTTTGGGTTTCCATACTTTCGACCCACTCCCCTTATCGAGGTCCCCAGCTCTCGCCGTGAAGGTCAATTTGCCCCTATGTTCGTCAGGCCCATGTTCATCCTTGTCACCCACTCCCTCCTCATGAAGGGATTCAAATCGCGAGCCTGAGCGTAGTGTGCCATTTTAGAATTTATACGGGGAGTCATCATGCGTTCTAGTCATCTTATTATATTGTCGGGGTTTTCTTTGTGCTATCATCCATGGTCCTGGGCCCGTTTGTGGAGAATGTTGGGGCGGAGTAGTTTGATTGGGTCCCTTAATAGGTGCAGCCTCAGTCTCAGTAGCCAGCGGTGCTTGGCGCTGATCCTCTCCAGCCTCGCTAGACTGGGCACAAGGGTGACCCATGGCCGTACATTCCACATGTAATTCAAATATCCGGCAAGCTTTCATATTCGACTCGTTGAGCCCGACCCCCAATTTCGAAGTCAGAACACAATGGTTGGGACAAGTCCAAAAGACACGCCAGTCTAGCATATTTACCTCGAAGTCTCGCCGCTGTTTGGTAATCAATTTTCACTACTTTGCCCACTATTTTCCAAGTTGATCGGAAGACCTCAGTATTGTAGAACTGCACGGGGAGGCCGGGCAATCGAATCCACGCTACAACTGATTGTGTACGGATGTTAGCCGCATCGAAATCTACAGTCCATGGTTGAACATGGAGGTAATGGTTAGCAATCACCCATGGGCCATCCGTAAGAGCTCGAAGTTGATCCTCCTGTGAGTCAAAGCGGACAACGTAGTACCCATTCTCGAGGTCCATTATGGGACTATCCCGAATCGAAGGCCATAGTGACGAAAGGCGCTTGTGCATCATTAACGGTGAGAGCGAGTGGCCAAATAAACGTACCACCACAGCGTGCTGCCACTCTTGCATTAGCGAATCCCAAAAGGGGTCGGAGAAAAGGATTTTCCCAGAACGTCCATTCATAACTACCGTGATGCTATCGGCCGGTGGGCCACCCTTGTCCGTTGGGGCCAGAGAGACATGTGGGCGGTTTTTATTCAGTAGGTCACGAAAACTAAGTCTTGACGAAACCGGGCGTGCTGGGGTTGTGGGCGGTGGTGGGGTTGGTTCCTCCCTTTGATGGTCGAACTCCCCCATGGAGCGTCGTTTCTTAGATATTCCGTGAGAGATCGGATTCTGTGGATATGCGTCAGAGGGACGGGGAGATGCGTTAGCCCGCAAGTCAGGAGGATCCAGTCGGGGGTCGCCTCGAGGCGTGACAGTAGTGGCCGAAAAATTCATGAGGGTTTTTTAGTACAAGCTTATAGTTTAACTTTTTAAAATTTAGTGCGACTATCCAATTTTGTCTCAAATCAGTTAAATTTGGCAAATCTACTTCAAAAATTTTAAGTGAAACTTTATAATTTACACATGTTACAACCACTTTTATCCTTTAAAAAGCATTAGAAAAATATGTCATCTCACTTTAGTATCCAAGATGAAAATGTCGATCACTATCAAACTTCATGTATTTAAGTGGTTAAGATTAATATAGTACACATACTTTCCCAAAATAGTGATTTTTGAATGATTTAAATGCCAATTTATGCATTTTACTTTTCAATGTGTTTCTAGTAATAATTTGTGCATTCTTTTTCAATTCTTACCAGCAGTCATATTCCCAGACATTAAAATAAACCATATTGTGGGTTTTGAAAAAAGAAAAAGAAGCAATGCTAATATCTGTCCTCAATATTCATAATTCTCATGTACAGTAGTAGCACAGCTGTATTTCATATGCATTTTTCACTTTACCTACTTTTTTCCTTTCCGTCTCTAGTTTTCTTTTATGGTTCAATCCTCCGACGACCGTTGTCCAGAGCAGGAGGAGCCCTCACCAAACGTCGTCGTTTGTTGTCGCCAGGGACAACGGAAAAAAATTGTTCTTGCCGGGTCAACCCAACTTCTTCCGCCTTGTCTGACCGAGTCAACCCACCCACCAAAATAGATGGAAAAACATTCATAGCAATTAGCAACCTTAAAATCCGCCCATTCTTCTGATCTACTCTGATCTGGTTACTATCTTCTAAAGGGAAGCTGGGCTTGGAGCAAGGAGAGTATAGCTACTCTCTAGAGTAGGGTTTTGGTTTTGCTTGCTTTTGGGGTGTGGAATTGTCAGCGAGAGTTGGCTAGCGGCTCTCGAATCCAATCCAACTGTTTGCGATTGTGTGTTTTGGTGGATAAGTAGAAAAGCGAGGAACCTACTTTGAGTTTCGGCAAGATGATGATCTCAAGGGGTTTATTCGGTTGGTCGCCTCCGCATATCCAGCCATTGACGCCTGTTTCCGAAGTATCGGAGCCTCCCGAGTCGCCCTCGCCCTACATGGACATGGGCACAGGGGAAGCTGAGCCAGTGGAGGTGGAAGAGGAGATCGACCCAGAGGGTGAGGAGATGGAGCCTCCGCCAGCGGCCGTGCCCTTCTCTAGGCTATTTGCGTGTGCGGACAATTTCGACTGGTTTCTAATGTTTGTGGGGTCCGTTGCAGCTGCTGCCCATGGTACTGCCCTCGTCGTCTACTTGCATTATTTTGCTAAAATTGTTCAGCTGCTTCGGTTCCACGGCTCTGACAGATCTGACGATCGGCTCTTCCACGAATTCACAGAGGTACTTCGAGAACAGTCTAGTTTACTTTTTTATTTTGCAGGAAACTTTTGGTCATTTTCGAGCTGAGTTTTAACTTCAGTATATGCTGTAGTGATTGGGACGGAGTGCACTGCTTTTGGCATTTCATTCGACTTCCTTGATTGTGGGAATTTTATCTATGTGATATAACGCCTGACTGACTTGTCTGTTGTGTGTGCCTGCTTTGAAGCTATATAGTTGAGTTCTTATGATCTCGGTAGATAGAAGCTGTCTGTCTGGTTTTGATAAGTAGGCTGCAATTAACAGGCTTCATTTCATTAAAAGTGACTGGTTGATTGTTTAGATTGCAACAGTACAGAAACTTTGAGTTATCGATATGTATATATCTAGCATTAGTGGTTCATTGGTGCTAGTTCAGAATTAAATCCCAAATTGTCACTTCTCGGTCTCTCGAAAGTAACAGGAAAAAATTGGTTTAGGGGAGTTAGCGTGATTGATGTCTTGTTCTATGTCATCATCAATTAGTAACTGGTTTCGTCCTTTTTATTGCGTCAGTTTGGGTGCATAAGGTCGCTCACTTAATCAAATTTGAACAAAATCTCCATAGCCAGTAAATTGAGTTTTATTCACTTTTTTCTTCTAACGATTAAAGGAACCTTGTAGTTTCAGTAGTTCTTTATTTATTTATTCGCTTAATTGTAATTCTTAATATGTCTGTTATTTATCTTTTTGTTATTAATGGTATTGTTTATATACGTGCTAAATTTTTCCGATGAAAGCACAATCCAAGGGTGTTGGATATTTCTTTGTATTACATAAGGTCATTATCTATTGAACTTCATGTTGTATTTATAACATACTGATTTTAGGTTGCTGTTTGGTTGGTCAGTTGTTCAAACAATTGCACGTGGGTAGACTGTCATTTTTACTGTGAGATTCACATTGAATGAATTATGCCTCTGATGGGACACTAGTTTCCTTTTAATATTAAATCATTCTTGAGCTTTTCTGCTCTAATATATAATTTGGTGTATTACTGTAAATTGAGAGTTGAGACTGAATTAATCTTCAAGTTATCTAGCTTGGTGTGAATCCAAGAGGGCAATTGTCATAGGAAACAGATGTTGGGACAAGATTGTACTGCCGCAAGGATTATGCTTCAACTACCTATAAATTTTGTATGAATATATACATTTTATAGTCTATCATGGTTAGTGTTCACAAGGGTGAAGGTGTTGTGCTTCAGTCATTTGAGGATTCTCACGGCTAGCAAACGAGCCGAGCCGAGTCAAGCATTGGCCTGATCGAGCAGGATTGATTTTTTTTTTTAGCTGCTCGAGCTCGTCAAGATCGATTTATGAGGCTCGAGCTCGACTCGGTAAAAAATACAATAGCTCGAGCTTGGCTCGAATTCAAAATGATTGAGCTTGGCTCGAGTTCGGTTTGAAAATTTTCAAGCAACTTTGTAAAATTACCACTAAGTACATATATTAATATTATGATACATATATATACAAGGGGTATTTTAGTAAGTTAACATATATCTCGAGCCGCTCGCGAGCCGAATGTAAAATATGGGCTCGAGCTCGACTTGAGTTCGGTCAAACTTGAGCTCGAGCCGAGGTTTGACTCGAGCGCTCGCGAGCCGCTCGATTCGTGTGCAGCCATTCTCACGGCTGAAAGATTTGATATAATAAGTGGGCAAGTATATTGACAAGATGAAAATAGTATTTGTTAAATGAGAAAAGGGAAGAGAAACAAAAAGAAGTTAAATATGGGTTGGAGCAGCAGTTCTAAGATTTGATTCTTAGGTCTGGGCATCAAAACTTGAGATGGATGTCTTAGTTGGGGGAAACCGAGAGCTATCTATGTCCCTAGTGAATGATGATGCTTCAAGGCAGTTAAATATGGATGGCAAAAAGAGAGGTTAAATTAAATCAATTTAAACACTTGAACATGAAGTCACAACAACAACAACAACAACATACCCAGTATATTCCCAACAGGTTGGGATTTGGGGGGTCAGTTGTACGTAGACCTTACCCTTGTAATTATACAAGGAGGCTGTTTCCGTAGCGACCTAAGGTGCATTGCGCCATTTGATATTTTTTTTTTCTTCTATAAACTTCACTAATAGAAGAAGCACTATAATTTAATTGAGTCATTTTTATCTAGTCCATTATTAGCACTATGTCAGGAGAATTGTCAACAATGACTCTTCCAGCTCCATTTGCAATGGACAAAAAAACACTTGAACATGAAGTCAAAAGAAAAAAAAGTACCACCTATCTGTGTTCTATAAGTACAAAGGAAAATGTATATGATAATACAGGGAATGTGGGTTTCCAGTCAAGTTATGTTGTTTAGGTTGTATTCTGCGTAAAACTCACTGTACCGGCCTAATTTGCATGAATCAGCCGAAATAATCGGCTAGGCGGTTAGCCCGCCTAGGCAGGCTCGGCGGCAATTTTTTAGTTTTCTTTTTAATACTAATTACATTATTTTGTTATCATGTTTTTCTTTATAATATATTAAATATTTTATTTGGACTTGGGTGTGTGGATTTATTATAAGTTGAGATAGTTTTATTTTGAAGGTAGTGAAAAAAAATGAAAAAAAAAGGTATTTAATCTTAATTTCTCGGCCCCGCCTAGGCACACTAGGCGCTAGGCGCTGGTCGAGCGCCTAGCGGGAGCCTAGCTACTTCTAGAACCACTGGTAAAACTGTAAATGTAAACTTTTTGTTGGAGAGGGGCATGAGATGGAGCTTTATTTTATACCGTTGTCTTGTCTGTATGAATTATTTTATGAAGAGTTTATTAACACTGTTTCCAGCTGACTTTGTTTTGGAATTCCTGCAGCTCACTTTAATCATTGTTTACATTGCTGTGGGAGTTTTTGTTGCGGCTTGGATTGGTAAGCTTACATGTATATATTGCCACTTGTATTCTGCTATCTTATACAAATTACTATTCCCATTTGCTGGCTTCCACATACTAATTATTATGATCTTGTTATTTTTTATTTACTTCTGAATTTCTCTCCGAAAAACAGAGGTATCCTGCTGGATACTAACTGGAGAACGACAGACTGCTGTAATAAGGTCAAGATATGTTGAAGTTCTACTTAATCAAGACATGAGCTTTTTTGATACTTATGGGAACAATGGAGACATTGTGAGCCAAGTATTGAGTGATGTATTGCTCATCCAATCTGCCCTGAGTGAAAAAGTATGTTTTCATCCTTCAATTTATTCTTTTTAGTAATGCTTTTGCTAGTTTGGCTGGTTAAAAGATTCAAATCACATACGGGCATGCTTTATTGTGACAGGTGGGAAACTATATTCACAATATGGCCACTTTCTTTAGCGGTCTCATCATTGGATTTGTGAACTGCTGGCAGATAGCTCTTATTACTTTAGCCAGTGGTCCATTAATTGTTGCTGCAGGTGGGATATCAAATATCTTTTTGCACAGGCTCGCCGAAAATATTCAAGACGCGTATGCTGAAGCCGCAAGTATTGCGGAGCAGGTCCGAATTGTGATCTCTTTGATTTCTGCTAAGAATGCATACCAAATCTCTTACTTATGGAATGTTCCTTATCCTTTTAAACGTGATAATATATACAAGAATTTAATTGACATGTCAGCTTTGAGTCTTATTACATCAATAAGTTAGGATCATACAATAATTAAATATATCAGCCACCACATCATTGTCAAGCACTAAGATTGACCCATATAGTTAATAATTTCAGTGCTGAATGCGTAATTGAAGGCAATGCCCATACATCACCTTAATATTTGTGAGTGATAGAAGATCTCGAATGAATCATCACCAAGGGCTTTATTCGATCTTATTGTGCTTACGCATAATGTCATTTATGAGTAAATAGCACGATTGTTTGTCCATCTGCTAATTCCTCTAGGGCCTGTTCTTCGAACGTTCTTCGAGTGTGCTTCGCCAATTGTTACTCTTTTTTTTTTTACATATAATTAAGTTGCTCGCGTGTGTATATCTGCACGCATTACTAGACAATATAGCTGAGTTTGTCCTTAATACCTTTGGTAGCTTACTAAATTCATATTCACAAAATTAAGTTCGTGTGCAGATAGATGTTCCTTCTGATTATTCTACGTGTCGTCTTCGGTTTTTTCACAAAGATTAAGATTTCATTTGTTGGATATTTATGTGCATGTGATGCATGGTTAAAATCAGATCCAACCGGCTGGTCAGTCGGACGGGAATCACCTGAGTGATTGGAGGGAACCGATTGGACGTTAAAACTGGTCATTGACCGGTCGAACCAATGAACCCGGTCATAACCAGTCAAAAATTGGCCCATCAGATCGGCCTTTTTTTTATATAAAAATCAGTTTTAATTTTAATATATTTAAATTTATTTCAACATAAAGAAAACACATTAAATAAATTGGCACGTATAAAGTATTATATCGTTTATCGTTAAGGCATTTGCATGTTTTAAATTATTTAAATACTTAAAGGTACTGATGTTTACATAAAAGTTATTACTGAAAGTGCTATATAATATTTGAAAGGATCAATAAATTTAGCACTAGTGCTACCGGTCAACCACTGGTCCGACCAGTGAACCATTGAACCTCCTGTAGCTTCACCGGTTAGGTGGCCATTCTGAGAACCTTGATGTGATGACTATTTGACCCCAGCGTATCAGTACTGCACTTACCATCAATATGTTATTGCTTTACTCAATATGGTTTAGAAAAAAATAAAAAGAAGTGCAATTTATTCCTTTTGGTAATCTGAAAGTGTCAGATAGAATCTATTTAATGACAAATCTTTGATAGTCAAGGTTTATGTGGGAAAGTGGTGAAGATTCATTGATGTTTATTGTGATTCATATCTTTCAGCTACAAAAAGAAACAAAGTCCATTAAATTCCAGGGTTTATGAATAAACTTCCTTCCGTTATGCTGGCTTCTGTTTCTTCGTTTTAGGTTTGTTTCACGTGCTTTCTTATTTGTTTTCCCCTTCTTTCAGGCAGTTTCCTATATTAGAACTTTGTATTCATTTACCAATGAGACGCTGGCAAAATATTCGTACGCGACATCACTTCAAGCTACACTTAGATATGGAATACTGATAAGTCTTGTTCAAGGGCTTGGACTTGGTTTCACATATGGCCTTGCTATCTGTTCTTGTGCCTTGCAACTATGGGTAGGAAGGTCTCTTGTTACTCATGGAAGAGCCCATGGAGGAGAAATAATAGCAGCCCTGTTTGCTGTTATACTGAGCGGACTGTAAGCAGTTTTATCAAATTTATTTGTCATTCTGACTTGTGTGACTTGTGCTCATGTATTGAATGGACTTGTGTTTGACAGTGGTCTGAATCAAGCGGCAACGAACTTCTATTCTTTTGAACAAGGGAGAATTGCTGCCTACAGATTGTTTGAGATGATTAGTCGGTCATCTTCCACAGTCAACCATGACGGGCTTACTCTTGCTTCTGTTCAAGGAAATATAGAGTTCCGGAATGTATATTTCAGTTACCTGTCTCGCCCTGAAATTCCGATTTTAAGTGGTTTTTACCTCACTGTGCCGGCCAAAAAGGCTGTAGCACTTGTTGGCAGAAATGGCTCTGGGAAAAGCAGTATTATTCCACTGATGGAGAGATTTTATGATCCAACCTTAGGTATAATTCCGTGTTAATTTAGCATCTATTTGAACTATCTCATTTGTATCTTCATATTTGAAACTCATTTTAACTTCTACTTGTGGCCTGGCAGGAGAAGTCCTCTTGGATGGTGAAAATATAAAAAATCTGAAGTTGGAGTGGTTAAGGAGCCAAATTGGCTTAGTTACCCAGGAACCTGCCTTGCTGAGTTTAAGTATCAAAGACAATATTGCTTATGGGCGGAATGTCTCTTTAGATCAGATTGAAGAAGCTGCCAAAATAGCACATGCACATGCATTTATCAGTTCTCTAGATAAAGGATATGATACAGAGGTGCCTTAACTCTCAATATTTTTCTTGGTTAAATTTTTGTGGATCTTAACAAATGGAAACTTATATTTCAGGTTGGTCGGGCTTCTCTAGTGATGACTGAGGAACAGAAAATTAAACTTTCTGTTGCTAGGGCCGTACTGTCTAATCCATCTATTCTGCTTCTGGATGAAGTCACGGGTGGACTTGATTTTGAAGCTGAAAGATCAGTTCAGGAGGCTTTAGATGTTCTCATGTTGGGGAGATCAACAATAATCATTGCTAGACGGCTAAGTCTAATTAAAAATGCTGATTATATTGCTGTGATGGAGGAAGGTCAACTTGTTGAAATGGGTACACATGAGGAATTGATGAGCTTAGATGGCCTTTATGCCGAGCTTCTCAAATGTGAAGAGGCGACAAAACTTCCTCGAAGGTATTGTTGGAGCTAACCAATGATTTTATTGAACATGATATTGATTTATGTCACAAATGAAAGTAATGTACCTGTAATACCGTCAGTACTGTTTTGAACCTCTGTGTTTTGTTATTTTTGGGATTTGTCTGCATAATTGAATATTACCAGTATTAATGGTGCCTATATGTACATTTAGGATGCCAATGAGGACCTACAAAGAAACTGCCGCGTTTCAGATTGAAAAGGATTCGAGTGCAAGCAGTATTTTTCAAGAACCATCATCCCCTAAAATGGCCAAGTCACCATCTCTCCAGAGAGTTGCTGGCCACCACATGTTTCGGCCTGCTGATATTACATATAGCTCACAGGAGTCCCCCCAAATTCTTAGCCCACCCCCAGAAGAAATGATTGAAAATGGTTCGACAGATAAAGAACCAACGATAAAGAGGCAGGATAGTTTTGAGATGCGACTACCTGAATTACCCAAGATTGACGTTCACTCCGCACAGCGACAAACAAATGCTTCAGATCCCGAGTCTCCTATTTCCCCACTTTTGACATCGGATCCCAAAAACGAGCGTTCTCATTCACAAACATTTAGCCGACCACTTAGACAATTTGATAATGTTCCTACTACTGTGAAAGAAGCGAAGGGGACCTCTTCTCTGGGGGAGCCATCCTTCTGGAGGCTTGTGGAGCTTAGCCTTGCTGAGTGGCTCTATGCTGTTTTAGGGAGCACTGGTGCTGCCATCTTCGGCTCGTTCAATCCTGTTCTTGCTTATGTTATTGCACTCATCGTTACAGCATACTACAGAACAGATGAGAGACATCACGTACGGCAGGAGATAGACAGGTGGTGCTTAATCATTGCTGGCATGGGAATTGTAACTGTAATTGCCAACTTTTTGCAGCACTTTTACTTTGGTATAATGGGGGAGAAAATGACCGAACGCGTTCGAAGAATGATGTTCTCTGGTGTGTATTTATTTGCTTCCTAAATTCTTTCTGGAATTTAATATGCGATATTCTCGTCTATTTATTATTATGTCCTTTTGGATATATCTATCTTGGAATTTATGAACATGATTGTTATAATGTCTTTACACGTCTTGTGGCTTCCTTTGGCAAACAGCAATGCTTCGGAATGAAGTTGGGTGGTTCGATGAAGAAGAGAACAGTGCGGATAACCTGTCCATGCGACTGGCTAATGATGCTACTTTTGTGAGAGCTTCTTTCAGCAATCGACTTTCAATATTCATACAAGATAGTGCCGCTGTTGTAGTTGCTGTTCTCATTGGAATGTTTTTGGAGTGGCGGTTGGCACTTGTGGCCTTAGCTACTCTGCCTGTTCTTATAGTTTCTGCTATAGCACAGGTATGCAACAAGTATAGTGATTTTTTCATATATGAAATTGCATCTCCGCACAAGTGAAACTCCTGTATATAACCTGTGTGGGATTGGACACCACACAAACTTCCCTGAAGAATTGCTGAGTGCTTGAGCTATACAGCATGAGGTGGTTTTATTTTGAAACACTTAATTAACTCCCACTCTTAAATCATGGATAGATGGTTTTCTTTAATTTCCATTTGGAAGTCCATTATAAACATTCTGTATCTTATATATAAATGTGGTTTATGCTAGCAACTGAATGAGCATAGTAGTTTCTGTATTGAGCTGGTAGGTGGCTAAGAGTATCAAATTTTTTTCCTGATGTAGGGATGTGACACAATAGGTTCAATGCAGAAAAGAAGGAACTTGGTTTCCATTTTAAAACTTTATCAATCTTGGTTGGGGGTCAAGTCGTAATCATGTAGTGAATTTTCTTGTTGCGCATTGTTCTCTGCATGTAATAATTATTAATAGACTTATTTGTTCGTTTGTTTAGGTTGCTAACTTATTTCGACATCCATGGTAAACTGTCATACTTGCTTATTAACTTCTTGAGCTTATATGACAGAAGATCATGGAAATATCATGAAAGATGGAGCTTGGCTATCAACAGATCGGAAGTCATATTTTTTAGACATATTATGCAATATAATAATTAAATTACACCTCAAATAGATATTAAGGTTGAGCATCACAAGTCTACCTTGATTCTTTTTCACACTTTTATACTGAGCATTTTAGTGACAATTCTAGCTCTCGTACATAACAGCATTTGCATTTTGCACCATTATCTTTCAGAAATTGTGGCTTGCTGGATTTTCAAAGGGCATCCAGGAGATGCATAGGAAGGCTTCTTTGGTCTTGGAGGATGCCGTTAGAAATATTTATACCGTTGTAGCATTTTGCGCCGGAAACAAAGTAATGGAGCTCTACAGAGTTCAACTTCGGAGAATATTCACAAAAAGCTTTCTCCAAGGAATGGCTATCGGTTTTGCATTTGGCTTTTCTCAGTTCCTTCTTTTTGCCTGCAACGCTCTTCTCCTTTGGTACACTGCTCTCTCTGTGAAGAACGGTTACATGAGTTTGGCCACAGCACTAAAAGAGTACATGGTATTCTCTTTCGCAACATTCGCATTGGTCGAACCTTTCGGTTTGGCTCCATACATTCTTAAAAGAAGGAAATCCTTAAAATCCGTCTTCGAGATTATCGACCGAGCCCCTAAAATCGACCCCGACGACAATTCAGCCTTGAAACCCGCAAACGTTTATGGAAGCATCGAATTGAAAAACGTCGACTTTTGCTACCCCACTCGTCCAGAAGTCCTGATACTTAGCAATTTTAGTCTCAAAGTCAACGGTGGTCAAACTGTGGCTGTAGTTGGTGTTTCAGGTTCCGGAAAAAGCACAATTATATCTCTAATCGAGAGATTTTACGATCCGGTTGCCGGTCAGATACTACTCGACGGTCGAGATTTGAAATCTTACAACTTGAGATGGTTGAGAAATCACTTGGGTCTCGTTCAGCAGGAACCCATCATATTTGCAACGACCATAAGAGAAAATATCATATACGCAAGGCACAATGCAAGTGAAGCCGAGATGAAAGAAGCTGCGCGAATAGCAAACGCTCATCATTTCATAAGCAGTTTGCCTCACGGTTACGACACTCATGTCGGGATGAGGGGTGTCGATTTAACGCCCGGACAAAAGCAAAGGATTGCTATTGCTCGAGTTATTTTAAAAAACGCGCCTATTTTGCTTTTGGATGAAGCCAGCTCGTCGATTGAATCTGAATCTAGCAGGGTCGTGCAGGAAGCTCTGGATACTCTTGTAATGGGGAATAAGACCACAATTCTTATCGCGCATCGAGCGGCTATGATGAGACACGTTGATAATATAGTTGTTCTTAACGGTGGTCGAATTGTAGAAGAAGGGACCCACGACACGCTAATGGCGAAGAATAGTTTGTACGTTCGTCTAATGCAACCGCACTTTGGTAAAGGGATGAGGCAGCGTAGGCTCATTTAAGATTGAGCTCCATTTTTTTTTTTTTTTTTTTTTTTNTTTTTTTTTTTTTTTTTTTTTTTTTTGTTATAATGGTTTTTATGTGCGTTTTATCGATTTTCTCTATTGGCGTTTGTGAGATTTCGAGATATGAGTTTGTGGAAGCTCTATGGAGTAGATGAATGAATGTGGGCGCAACTTGGCAGGCTACTTGCAGTGTTTGATGAGGAAAGTTAGGATTTGCTTCTTGTTGCTATTGTTGTGTCGTGGTAATTTTCGTAAGCTAGATTCATATGTATTCTTTTGGAGGCGCAGGCAAAAGCAGAAATTTCACCTTATTGTGCAACGGGTATATTGATTTAATCGGGGAGCTGAGGGAGCTTTAAGAGGTAATTCTTCAAGTTGGTGGTTGTGTTAGAATTTTCTTTTCTATTGCTTTGAGTGTTTTGTTGTGAGATACAATGAGCTTCAGTTTTGTTTTGTACCATGTTGGCTGAGCTGGCCCTTTCCTTCTCCCTCTGTATATCGGTTTGACCTTTGGATATTTATCTAACTGTAAAAGGCATTCTTTGTACTCTATTTGTACATAAGAGATCAGAAGATTCTTCTTGGTATTTTGTTTGTCTTAAAAATTGTTTTTGGACATGGAGCTGTCAGTTTGGTGCTAGAATAGCTTTATGTTCTGTTTCTTATG